TGCCATGCGGATCTCCAGCGTTGCGTCACAACTCCGCGCGCTCGGCGACACCATGGACGACGCGAGAGTCGTGCGGAAATTTCTCCGCGTCGTACCATCTCGCTTCGCTCAGGTAGCGGTCTCCATCGAGACCTTGCTTGACCTGAGTGAGCTCTCCATCGAGGAGCTCACGGGCCGGTTGCGGGTGGTCGAGGACCGCCTTGATGACGGCCGCGAGAGCTTCGGCGGCAGACAACTCCTATTCTCGAAGAAGTGGGAGGCGAAGAAGTGTCAAGGACGTGGTGGAGGTGCCCCGAGCAGTGGAGGCGGCACCGGCAGAGGCGGCGGTCGCACCCAGGGCGGAGACGGACGAGGTGCCGGCAACGACGACCGGGACAAGTGCCGATATTGTAGCATCAAGGGCCACTGGGCCCGTGAGTGCCGCAAGAGGATGGCTGATGAGGATGCCGCGGCCGCGGCGTACCTCGTCGAGGCTGAAGAGGACGGTGGGCCAGCAATGATGATGCTTGCGTCGAGACCATGCAGGAGGGCACAGCGCCTCCGGCAACCATGGTCCCGACAAGCATCGAAGCCGTGCAGGAGGGCGCAGCACCTCCGGCGACCACGGTGCCGGCAACCGTCAAGTCTGTGCGGGAGGCACGGAGCTCTTCAAATAATCCCCTCCCCACATCGGTAGCGCTCTCCCCGACAACAACGTTCTCGGGAGATTTCGATTGGGAGGAGATGAAGACCCGGGTGTGGGGGAGCCACGCCCCGGCAACCACGTCCCTTGTGACGCTGGTCAAGCCCGTGCAAGTTGGCACGGCAATCGCGGCCCCGACATCCTCGGGACCCGACAAGCCCGTGCAAGTTGGCACGGCAAAGGCGTACCTGACATCCTCGGGACCCAATAAGCCCGTGTCAGGAGGCACGGCAACGACGCATATGGTGGGCCATGTCCCAACCATGATGCTGGTGACCAGTGAGACCATGCAAGAGGCACGACACTCTCAGGTTGGCCATACCCCGACAACCAGGTTCTCGGGGTTCTGCAAGCCCGTGTGGGCAACACGGCACTCTTTGACGGGCCTCAACAGCTGGGAGGCCATGAAGAGACGGTCATGGGGCGGCAAGGCCTCGACCGTGACTCTGGCGACCATCGAGGCTGTGCAGGAGGCGCGGTGCTCTATGGTCAGCCACGCAGCAACCCTGACGCGCTCGGGGTCCATCGAGTCCGTGCGGGAGGCACGACTTACGTTTGTCGGGGGAGACCCGACAAGCAAGTCCGATGGGAAGAGCAGCAAGGACTCCGCTACCCTGAGAGGAACCACTCTGGTCAGTGTGGCGTCCGGCACAACGACCCTGGGAAGGGAGTTCCCGGGCAGTGCGGCGTCCGGCACGACGACCCCAGGAAGGGAATTCCTGGGTAGTCCGATGTCCGACAAGTCATCCCCGGGAAGGGAGTTCCCGGGTAGCGTGACGTCCGACACGACGACCCCGGGAAGGGAGTTCCCGGGCAGTGTGACATCAGGAACTACGACCCCAGAAACACTGACGCCCACGAGCGAGGTGGTTCCCGGGCAGTTCATGTCCCCATCAACAGCGCGGTAGGACTTGTTCGATGCCAACAAAAATGGTGGCGATCCACACAGGTTCCGAAGCCTAGAGGGACCTTCTCGAGCCCGCGAGACGATCGCAGCACCCGAGATCAAGAAGCACGAACAGGGCATACGGGCCGCCGAGAAGACGGATATCCCAACGAAGGCACTTGGTTGCGTCGAGTTCCAAGAGCCGCACGACAGGACCGGGATCATCAAGACCCTCCTACAGGTTTGAGGGGGAGATTGTTGAGTCAAACCTGTCTTCGATGCATGCATGGCTATGCATGCTTGGTTACAGCGGCAGCAGTAGCAGTTACTTAGCCAGGAGGTGGAAATGACATGCAGCTGCATGTCGGCAAGAAAAGCAGTAGCGGCTGCATGCCTTGGTAGTTAAGGAAACTACTAGTAGTAGTAATTTACTATGGTAAAAGCTGAGCAAGCTAGTCGTCAGCAGTGATGTAATCTAGGAGCTTGACGTAAGCTCATACGTATAGTTAGTCGGTTCAGCTACCTATAAAAAGAGCTGCATCCCGGTTGTAAAACTCAGGCCATTCCAATTTCATTACAAGGCATTTCCTCCTTCTAATACCACCGTGTGTGCTCCAAGCCTCAAGTGCTGTGTACTAGTACTACTACTACTACTACGTGTGTGTGATACACTAGTGAGTGTGTGAGTAGTACATGTGTGTGCTCATCCACCGGTCATCTATCAGTGTAAGTGCTAGCGAGTAGTTCTGGGCTGACAAGGAGCTGGGATGAAATCCCTGGCATGGCGCCCCCCGCGTCGCGCTTCCTGTGGTCGGTGGTGCCGGCGGGAGTGGACGTCGGCGCGGACGAGGTCTTGGGCCTGGCGATGCGGATCGGGTACAGGCAGCGCCGCGGCCACGGCGTGGGTGGTGGTGTTGACAACGAGAATGTGTGGCGTCGCGAGGTGTTGCGGTACGACATGCGTACCGACGCCACGGCCACGGTGGCGGAACTGGTCGGCAGGGAGAAGCACGACGACTTCGTCGTCTTCGGCTACCACTCCAGCATGGCGCCATTGTACTAGCAGCTAATTAAAACCTCTCCATCTCAAGGTTTTTTCTGACAGTAATTTGATGGAACTCGATCATCGCAGGTACTGATAGTATTCTGGATACTTCACTTTTCAGCTATCTATCAATGTCTCCGTTTCTAAATATAAGCCTTTTTAGCAATTTCAATACGGACTACAAACCAATGTATACAGACATATTTTAGAGTGTATATTCACTTATTTTGCTCTCCATGTAGTCCATCTTGAAATATCTAAAAAGACTTATATTTAGAAACGGAGGAAGTATTATATTATCAAAACATAATGGTCTATTTGAATCTCTCAAAATCCTAGCTATTCTCAGCATGATTTTGCGGAATCTCAAAGAGGAAGAGGTTATTTGAGGGGAGAGGCAGATGTTTATTTTCACTACCTATTTTTACAAGAATCTTTTTGGTCCTGCAGAATCTAATGTACATGTTTACTTAGGACCCGAGAGTTATTAGATAAGATGTTCATAGTGCAATTAAGAAGTAATGCTGCCATTTTTCAATTAAAGCATAACAAGGCTGCTGGCCTGATGGTTTAGCTAGTGAATTTTATCTGCGTTTTTGGCCATTCGTTTATGGGGATTTGTTTTTTTTTAGTTCTATATATCATGGTAGGCTTGATCTTGCTAGGTTGAACTATGGTGTGTTAACTTTGTTGCTAATTAAGGGTACATGAGGTGATAAAATTCAGATGTTTAGGTTGCATTGATTTCTTAATACCTTTTTGAAAATCTTTACAAAAGTTATTAATAATAGATCTATTAGTCTAGCTGATAAGATTATTTCTTCTCTGCAAACATATTCCACAAAAGGGTAGGTTTATTTAAGATGGGTAAATCGTACTCCATTAAAAATTTAATGAGCTGGTTAGAAAGAAAAGAGACGATTCAAGCCATTGAGATTGTACTTCAATGAGGAGGGGGGGGGGGCGCTTCTCCCCTGTCGCTCTCGCAAGCGACGTCGGGGTGAACCCTAGCCCCAACCCCCGCATCCTCCACAAACCGCTCTACACTCACCGCCATTGAAAGGCGGCGTCGGGCGAAGCTCGGTCGACGGCGGGGCTCGTCCTACCCCCCTGGCGAGCGGCGGAACGGCGACACAAGACGGAGCGGCCGCACCGCCGACGGCGAAGCGCTTAGCGGGGCGGTGGTGTGGGACGACCTTCAGGCCATGGTGTGTGGCAAAGGTGTGGCGCCGGAATCGGACAGGCGCAGGGGTGGCGCCGTGAATGCGGATCGAACGCTGAGCTGAAGTTGGGGGTGCGGCTTTGGCCTCCCTTAGTCGGGTGGCGACGAGGCGCTCGACGCCTCCATTGGCTACCTTCGGCACGGATCTGTCAAGCAGAGGGCTGGGTCATGGCGGGAATCTCATGCGCCCTGACATGATCCGGTTTGATCTCGTGCGATGGATGCACTAGTTGGCGATGTGGTCACGATAGCTCGGGCGACGGCGGTTGGCGTTCCGTGGCGGGACACGGGTCGTGCTGGCTCCTCCCTTCTCCTAAGTACATGTCGGTAGCGCGGACTACTTGCGTGGTGGAGATGGCCACATCGTGGGGCTCATACTTGGGAAGATCAGATTGGGGCTTGTGGCGGTTCGGAGCTCCTGCTCCAGGTAAGTGATGATGTGCTCAGTCTGTGTTGTGCCCGTGGGCAACGAGGTCCCTCTCCCCGGGGGTGCAGTGCTCTATGGTGGTGGTCGGGTCGGTGCTATTCTGTCAGGCAGCTTGACGTCGAAGGTCACGGGCATGACATCATG